TCTGGCAGGTTCAGAAAATGGAGAAAATCCTTCTGGTGGTTGCTTTATGATTGGAAGCCAAACTGTTAAGCTGGAGTTGGTGATGCTATTTGCACATTATAAATGACTTCCCACTTAAAGATATTTCTGAACCACCCCTGCGTGTAGTGATGGTGTAATTAAGGAGCTGAGAAGTACAGGGAAGGCAGAGTCAGCAGAAGGATTCCTCACCAGCAGGTCTTCATTCTCTACATTTGTGCCATGTGTTTAAAAAAAAGCTATACTAAAATTGTGTTCTCTTTTTCCTTTTGACCCTGACTTTTTAAAAATCATTGTATGCAAGTAATCTGTAAATAGAGTTTTGAACCAGATTGAGGACAAACGTTTCTATAAATCCCTCTTGGTGCTGTCATCGGTCCATGTGTTTGGCAAGTAGATAGTCAGAGTGATGGAGCAGCCTTTCTTCTTCTTCACAGTTGTGAAGATCTGAAATAACTCCAGTTTCCAGTCATTGGGAGCATATCATGTAAATTAGTAGATGGGAAAGAGATGTCAATCCTTTAACTGTTTCTTTTTTCTGGAAAAGATCTAGGGAGGCAGGAGGAGAGGCAGAGAAATACAGGTGCATCACCTGTCTGTGTGTCCTCCTTGACTGGATTAGTTTCACTGCTGTAATGAAGGTTGGGTTCAACCCTGGATCTCTTGATAAAACACATCGATGCAGCAATCAGAGCTGGTTCTGGAATCATGTCTGGCTGGGAGAGCAGAGATGCAGATGATGTGTTTGGTTGTTTAACTGTTGTTTGCTGCTAAGGAACATCTCTCCCTGACATGCAGACTCATTTTCAGAATGAGGAAACTGCTCTCAAGGAGGCACAGGACCATCAGCTCCATCTTCAGCCTTCCGAGTGTGCCATGGGATGTACTAATGGGGGTCATTTGTAAGAAACACTGAGACCCTCACTGTAAATAAATATTGATTAAGGACAGATCAATTCCAAGTCAGGGAATATTCGTGTGTGAGTGGAAAGCCAAGGTGACCTCCACATAGGATCTATGGAATAGCAGTTTCTTTTTCTCTTCCATTAGCTCAGTTGATAATTCATTTTTATTTAGCCATATCCTTGGTAATTCATTCCTGAGCTTAGCAGTTTCTTTATCTCCATCCTATCCTCAGGAACTTGCCAAATAATTTTTCCAGGCATTTTCAGCTATTCCAAATCTTTTGAGCACATTCTTGCAGCAGCATCCTTCAGCTTCTCATAATATAGCAGAGCCTGCTGTTGGTACCACTCCGAGATCCAGTGGGAACACAGTGCTGCCCCTGGCCAAAGGAAAACAGCCTTCTTGCCTTTTTTATTCTGATCCTATCCTCAGGAACTTGCCAAATAATTTTTCCAGGCATTTTCAGCTATTCCAAATCTTTTGAGCACATTCTTGCAGCAGCATCCTTCAGCTTCTCATAATATAGCAGAGCCTGCTGTTGGTACCACTCCGAGATCCAGTGGGAACACAGTGCTGCCCCTGGCCAAAGGAAAACAGCCTTCTTGCCTTTTTTATTCTGTGTTTTGGATCAAGAAGAGCCCACAGAGCTTTGATGAGAACACTAGAGGATGGTAGACCCAGCAGCAGACTTGACTGCTTGGTTCTTTCCTCTAAAGCAATTCTGAATCATCTGATCCAGCCCTCTCTTCACAGCTGTCCATGGAATGGCCAGAAGGATGCACAGAAACCCAAAATACCCAGAAGTGAACCATAGTGTAATGCAGGAAGAGAGTGGGGGAAATCAAAAGCAGTTCCAGATGCTTGGATCTGCCCTAGCTTTGTGCAGATGCTCTCCTTAGGCAGTGCAGACCCCAGCTGCAAACTCACCTTTCTGTCCCCTTTGTGTCCCTCGCTGTGTCACGGTGTCTTCCAGCCTGGACTGGGGACACAGCACAGCCTTCCTGAGACAAACCCAAAGCAACACTGAGTGCAAGAACAACAAGAGCAACACAAGAGTACAAGAAAGCATAAAACAGAACAAAAATTATCACTACAGATTTTTTTCACCAGAAATCCAGCCAGGCACAAGACAGAGCTAATCCCAAATTCCCACTGCATGCGGCACTTGGTGGATTATTCCAGCAGCCACCGTGGCTAAATGTGTTAGCATGTTGAAATCTTTCATTTGGAAAAATGTCTGGTTTTCCTCAACATCTCAAGACTAACAATGTTGAGTCTCTGATTTGAAATTACTTTTTCATTTCTAAATTTGCTCACATTTTGCAATGAGATGTTGGAAAAAGATCTTTTGACGCAGGAAAAATCCAAACCAGACCAAACCAAAATATTTAGTGAGTTAATATTTGAAATGTTCTTGTGTACAAAGTGTATGTACATGTTTTCTTGTAAGGTGAGGGTGTTACTAGAAGTGCATGCATATTGCTGATCCTAAAACAGATAGGGAAAGTAAGGGCATGTCCATGTTAATTCAAGCAGAGGGATTTTACTGAATCCCATGTTGTTGTGCCTCTAGTTGTGCCTGTGTGTCCTAGGAGTCATTTTTATCCCTCCAGATTTTCCACATGGCCCCATAAAGGTGAATTTCAGGATGAGCATTTGAAAAATGTGAGTATCGTTGGGTTAACTGTGGCCACAGGTTTTTCCCAAGAAATCATGTATGCAGGATCTGATGGTTTCAATTGCCTTTGGAGCAGGGAAGGGTGGCCTGACGAGAGGGGCAGCCGACAAGCTGTGGCAGCCAGGGGCTGAAGTCTTAAGGAATTACTGGCAGCTTTGGCAGCTTTAGACAAGTAATGACTGAGCAGAATCTTAAGGGAAGATCTCACTGATCTCACTGACTGCTGTAAATTAGAAATAATCCCAATCACTTTGAAATGTGTTCCTGTTGTATAATTTGTGGGAATGTGGACTTGACCGACAAGCCTGGGTTGATCTGTTGCCATGTATGACTCACTTCTTTATTTTGTAACCTGAATTTCCAGGATATAAACAGACCCAGAGAGGTGCTGCCCCTGCCTACACCAGTCCTCTAGTGCCTTTTGTCCTTTGAGCTGTTAATGGTGCAGAATGTGGGGCTTCCACCACCTCCTGCCGAGCCCTTTCACTGCCTGAGAGCTCTCTGCATTATGAAGTGTTTCCTGATGTTCAACCTCTATTTCCCTTTGCTCAGCGTCATCCCCTTGCTTGTAGTTAAATACCCTCAGATCAAAACAGTGACATTTAAAGGCAGCAAGGCAAACCAGCACACAAAGGTAGCTGGAGCAGGCACGGAACAGCCAGTGAGGATCAGACTTCAAACGGGGCAGACAGAGCTCATCCTGAGCTGCCTTTGCAGCTCGGTCCCTTCTGTCGCTTCTGCCCTCTGAGAGAGTTACAGGTCTCAAAGGTTAGCAGGCAATAGCTGGATAGATGCATGCACACAGCAGTACTATAAAGAGGTGGTGATTTTCATAAAGCCCATCCTCATTTCCAAGTCCTTGCCAGCCCCAGTTGGGGCAGGGCTGTATTTATGCCACAAAACCGAGGCACTGGATGTGTCCCTGCCTTCCTCTCTGTCTGCTCCTGTGCCACAGCGTGAGCGTGTTCTCCTGTGCTGCTGTAGCTCTGCTCCTGGGCAGGATTTGCAGGACAGCCTGCAGACCTCTGTTTGGATCCTGTGAGTGTGCTGGCACACGTGCTGCTGTGCCCAGCTTGCTGTGCTTCTGCTCCTGGGCAGGATTTGTTGTTCGCGTGGGCATGACCGTGGTGTCCACCACAGCCTCAGGTGTGACTGCAGTCTTGCTGAGTGCCCCATATGGATGATGCAGAGAAGGAAAACAGGACTGTGCTTCAGCATACCTCAGAATTGCTCGATTTTATGCCTTTTCACACAGCTCCTGAACCACATCAAAACAAAATGAAGCAGTGATCCCTGGTGCAGTTCAGGCTCCCTCTCTGGCTCTCATGGCAGCTGCTAGCAATGCTTTCCTCCCTTTCAGCCCAGGTTTTTTTCAGAGAAGGATGGTGGTATGGCTCCCATTCCCTGGGATGGAATCTGTGGAGGTCCCTGAGCCAGCAGTGGGATGTTTGGCACAGGAGAGAGCCTTGCTCATCAGTCTGGATTGGTTTTAACTTGCTATTTAAACAAATTACTTTGGTTTATGTAGGTATCTATATATTTCTACCAAATATTCCCATGGGTTGCCACTATGGCAGGTTTCAAGAGTATTAAATTCACATTAAGGGAGAAATATATGTCATTGAGAAATATAATGAACACTGTCCTTTTAAATTTCTTCCCATTCTTGTTATTTACAGATCCTTTAAATCAAGACTTGCTGCCCTTAATTATGTAATCTGTAATTGTTGGCCTCAGCCTAATGTTATGTTAGTGAATCCAAGAGTGACATGAAAGAAAGTTGCATGTAACCAATGTGCTGTTTGCAACGTGAGGACAGCCTGATGAGAAATCCTCCTGAGAAAAAAATCATGTCAGGGACTGAAACAGGGCCTTCCTTTTTCTTCTTCTTTTTTTTCCCCCCAGCAACAGAAGGTATCAAAACTGAGCCCGTTGAAAAGGACAACATTTCACTCGCGTTCCTTTTTCTGATCTCAGTGTAGCCCGGGGTGCTAATCAGCCTGTCAGTCTCTAATTGCAGAACAGCAGTGTCAGGCAGAAGAGAGCCCTGCTCACTGACTGGTAACTGGGAGAGGGCACAAAATCCCCTCACAGTGCCTAGCAGTGACAGCAAAGGGCCATGTCAGGGTGGGCTCAGGTGCAGGGGAGCAGGTCCAGTGGGCTGATGGACATTCCCAGGCCCAGGACAGTGTCTGCTCAAGGCTGGTTTATGGGAAGGAGCAGGGCAGACTGGGAGGTGGAACAGCTCGCAGTGCATTGCCCTTCCTTGGTGTGTTGGTGCTCCCAACAGTGTTTCTTTTATCACACTCTTAGAACTCCTTTAGTTCCTCCCAGTTGCTTGTTACAGAGCGTGGTGGTTGCTCCAGCACAACTGGGGAGTTGGGGATCAACATCTTTCTGAGGCAGCAGCAGCAGCAGCAGAGCCTGTGCTGCCACAGTCAGGAGTAGCCCTAGGACTTTGTGTGTCACTGCAGCACTGGCAGGCTCGAGGGAGCACGAAGCACACATCCAACCCAGATCTGGGTGACCTTCTGCTCCCATTACTGCACACGGAGGAGCTGGACTCTGCCTGTGACTGCATGAAAAAGAGAGGAGTCAGCTTGCTTTCTGCTGCCCTTCGGATGTAGCAGGATGCACACTGATGCAGCTGGGGAGGGCTGAGGTTTTTTGTTAGAGACCTGTGGGAAATACTCAGGTTGGAAAAGGCCTCAGGAGGTCATCAAGTCTTCTCTTAGCCATTTTGCTGCTGTGCCCTGCTGAAGTCAGTAGAAATCTGCCAGTTCAGAGTAACTGAAAGTTCAGCCTCTTCCTTTTTTAGCAGGGTTTCTCTTAACTTACAGACAGATAAAGATGATTTTTCCAGCTCTCTAGGAGCTGGAAAAAAATGGAAATTAAAAAAGAAAATTTTTTCCTAGTTTTGTACTGGATTGGAGGGATCCAGGCCTGAGACTGGGAGAGCCATTTGGGGAAGCCTGCCTGGAGTCAGGACCATGTGGGAGTCATGTGGCAGGGGAGCTGAAAAGACAGTGTGTCCCTCCTTAGCCCCCCTGCCCCAGGAGGGATGATCCCCATCAGCAGAAAACAGTTCATGCTGTTTAAAGTGATGTATAACTGTGTTGGGGGAAAAATGCCTTCCAAGCTTGTGTGGTTCTGCTGTGACGTGGTGCAGCCACACTGGTGGATTGGCACAGCAGTCGAGGCTGCAGGAGCAGGCAGGGCCGTGGACATGCTGCTCTTGGCCAGACGTGTGCTAGTCCCAAACTGTTTGCAATATATGTTTCCCAATTTGCTAAGCCAGCATGGGAAATCAGCTCTTTCTAGCCTATGGACTGTGTATATAAATTGTTTTCCCAACATAAGAAACGCAATACAAATCCCATCATTTCAGATCTGAATGTTTTTGGGTTATGTTGCTTGCAGGGACTACACAGTTTGGATTCAGCTAATCAAGTAGAAGTGTTTACAGAGTCCTCTGTGTGTCCTCAGGCTTCAGATGCTACCACAGGAGTAAAAGACAAAACTGGCTTTCTATTTTTAGCAGCCAGCCTCTCCTAGGCTCACTCCCTCTCCTAAAGCTCCCATCCATAGGCTGGTGGGAATCTTCTTCATACAAGCTCATGTTTAGCCAGGAAAACCCACAATTTCTGGATCTGGGATGTGGTTGTCAGAGGCTTTTTGTTCAAGGGCTTGTGTCCACCTGAGCTGTTGCAGCTCCCTGGGTTCTGGTCAGGAGGTGCCACAGCTGAAATCGGACCCTGACACTGCTGAGACACTGCATGATGCACAGCCCATCTCTCCTGGGAACAACCCACTGTGTTCCTGGGAAGTTATCCCTATTAGCCGTTTGGATACCACAGCCACAGAAGTGAGATGCAGAGGTGGATAAACCCCTAGCTAAGGTGCTTTGAAAGCCTGTGCTGCAGCATGGTGATGCAGTGACTTAATGAAGTCGCTGTTGTCACAGGGCCCAGGGACACAGGCGGTTGCTTCTAATCAATGCTGAGAGGTTAATTACACATTTACCTGAACAGCAGTCTGAAATCCTCACCAAGAAATGAGGAGTGGGGGTGACTCTTGGTTGCTTTGGCGCCTGCAAGTATAAGCAGGATCAGGAGTGTGTGTCTATCTAGATGCCCTCCATAGCTGGCTGAACCTTTACAAGCTGTTTGCTGAGATTTTGGGATGGGCTTGTCTCAGAAATCAGTTCCAGTTTGGCATCAAAGCCAGAACTGCAGTAGTTTCAGAGCCAAAAAGTAAAAGAAAAATTCTCTTCTCTTACTTGCTTCTGAATCCTGCTCCTTACCTTTCAGCTGGAGTCATCCCGCTTCCTTCTGCGGTGTTCCACCGAGATGCCCACAGGGCAGGTGGTGGTGAATTCACCCATTTTTAATAAATAGATTTTAATTAACTTTTTAAAAAGTCCAGCTCATTCCAATTAGTGGAGGGTGACTGCATTTGTTCTGTCAGAGAGTGGGAGAGAGAGTGCTGTGTTTTCAAGACCATCTGCTCATGAATCCTTAAAAAAAAATCGGAGAGGAAAACAAGCGTTAGCCGGAGGCAGAGAAGGGTGAGGGCACTCTGGCAGCAGGCTGGGGGGGCCTGGTCAGCCGGGATGGGGCAGAGGCTGCCAGAGGTGCTTGGGTGGTCCTGACAGGTTTTTGGAGATGGGGAGCTCTAATGAGCTATGAGAGAAGGGACTGCTATTACATGGATGAGTGGGAGGAGAGGCAACAATCCAGACGGGTGAGTTCTGGCAGCCTCATGAGTGGGGAACTGATATCCCAGTATAGATGGCTTTGGTAGCTGGCCTGATGTTTCAGGAGGGGAGGTGCTTTGGGATACTGTTTTAAAGGGAGGGTGTGCAGGGAATTTGTTGCCCTGGCTACAAAGTGGCTGTTGTGGGCAGGAGGAAGGGACTTTCCTTACCTGATGCCACCAGCACCTGCAGCAAGATCCAGGGTCTGGGGGCACCTGGAGAGGAGGAACAGGGACAGTGTCTGGAGCAGCTCTTTCCCCACTGCAGTGTGAGCCATAGTGACTGTGCTTTGAGTGTCCATGCTTAACTTCATTTATTCCCCTTCCTTCAGAATGATCCCCTAACCCCAGTTTCTGCTCTGAAGAGGCTTTGAGAGCTGCAGGAGGACCAAAATCTTACTTAATTATTGCATCTCCCCATCCTGCAAAGCAAAATGTTTCCAGTGCTGTGGCTGGGAGCAGCAGCTCACTCAGCCTCCTTCTTTGTGCCCTTCAGGGAGACGATATCTTGGACCGCAGCTCGGAGCTGATCTACACGGGAGAGATGTCCTGGATTTACCAGCCTTATGGACGGAACCAGCAGCGAGTTTTCTTTCTCTTTGATCACCAGATGGTTCTCTGCAAGAAGGTAAGGACGCAGCTAAGGACATGCTGCGGACAGGCTTGCCAGTCCAAAGTGGTTTTTAGGGCAAGGTGGCTGGCTGCTACATGTGCAGAAGAGGATGTGGGTATCACTGAGGAAGGCCAGCCCACGTACCAGAAGTACTGAATTATGGGATGGTGAGTATACTGTGATAGAGGGATTTTATGCTCATAGAAAATCCAGCCTCCACTTGTTCCCTTCATGCCTTTTTCTCATATGCCCCTCGTTTGGCTTGTTGCCTCACTTCTACTTCTAGGTTTTGGCTGCAGCATATGATCTGGGATTAGATAGCCCTAGAATTCCTGTATGAACTATGAAGCCTGGCACTTGGGCCGACAACTCAATTGCTACGCTGAAATGATAATCAGCAGCAGCCCAGACTGCTGGCACTTGGGGAGAGGCTTGTTAAGCCTCATCCTCATGTCTCGGCTGTGCTGGGTTTTACAGGGCACCCCTCTGCCACGAAATCCATCGTGAAGGTAGGAAGGCAGTGCTGCTGCTGCTGCTGATGTGTTGTGGTGTTAATAGCAGCAGGCGAACTGTGTTTTGGAGCAACTGTGTTAAGCAGCAGCAGCATCATAGCTGTATCGCTGTATCCCACTAAGGTGATCCCAGCTTGTTACCATCACAACTGTGCGACATGAAGTGACAGAGCTCATCAGTCCTGGGTGTCTGTGTGCTGACAGCCTGGAATTCATTGACATTCACTGCAGCCACACAGAGAACTGTGCAGAGGGAGTCCCTGGGACTGGCTTCAGTGGGAGCAAGGGGGAGCTGCGGACGGCCCTGGCCACAGGCACTGGGCTGTGTTCCTGTCACAGCTCCTGTGCTCAGGACAGGCTGAGCAAGACCTGCTCGGTTGTGGCAGCCCTCTGAGGAGGGCTCTGCCACTGCAGGAAGTGGTGTGGGCAGAGGCGTGGGTGGCTCCTGACTCACTGCGGCATCACTGCCCGCTCCACGGCCTGTGCAGTGCAGTGGGTGGCACTTTCTTCTCCTGAGTCATGGTTTACTGAAATTTTGCCTTCTGGAATGCATGTGCTTGTTTTTCCCCTCCTCATTGCTGTGCCTTTTACTCCTTGCCTGGCTCTGTACAAAAATAACCACAGAGCAACAGTAACAGAGTCCAATCATCAGAGAGCTGTCAGAATGAGTCTGGAGGTGCACAGCTGGTTTCATTTTTAATCTTGACCTCCTACACTTTGATTGTGACCCTGAATTTCCGATTCATAAGGCAGCATCCAGTTTGGCTTTCACTGGGTCTCGTCCTGAGAGGTATCGAGTGTTCCCTTAACTGGGAAAATCAGGGCTGGGGTTTCCATGACTGTCAGTGTGAGTGAAGAGTGTTCAGCAATTCACAGCAGGCTGCTGGAGGCCTGGAAGGTTCCATCAGTTTGCTAACAGTGTTAGTGTGACACTGTCCTCCTCCCTTGCAAAAGGCATTTTGCAGGGGGTGTGAGGCAGTGCTGCACAGGGAAACACACAGCAGATTGTAGTTGTCTCAGGGACAGCACAGTGGTCTGGAGCTTCCTGGCAGAGATTCTGGCTCCATATCAGGAGCTGCCACTCACGAGGGTATTGTGGGGCAGTTTGTGTCCATTGGGCTTTAGGGTGATAGGGAAGAGGGTGGGAATGTGTCTGGTGAGCCCAGTGTCATGGGCACAGGGCTCACACCTCATTCTAAGTTCTTCTGCACCTTTTTTTCCAACATCAAACTGCAGTTGTTATTTTTCAGTGTTGGGGTAGGAGGGAAGATGAGGTCACAGCTGGACACTCCCATCTTGATCATGCTTTCCTTTAATATTATTAAGAATGATTGTCTGAGTACGGAATTCAGAGGAGTGTTGGCTCACATTTTGGGTCATGCATCTCAGACAAAATAAATCTGAATGATTTGTAGCCTGTGTTTTCTTGACCCTCATGTCAGGCTTTGCTGCGCAGATCCCCACAGACAGCCATGCAGCAGGATCACCTCTGCTTTAGAGTCAGAGTGCCATGTCCTGGGGCACCATTTGTATCATGCTGTGGGAAGCTGGGGCCAGCCTTCCTTACCCCGTGGTTTGAAATGATTCTCTGAGGGTATGAAATATGACCCACACATCCCCCAGAACAGCTTTGGCATCACTTATGGTGGCAGATCTCAGTGAATCTTCCTCTTCGGAAAATCTTCCGCATTTGTAGGTTGTCTTCAGGGACAATAAATCAGTAGGTATGATACATCCTTCATCATGGCACAGTCTATTCGAGAATACTTCTCTTTTAAATTACAATGGTTGGATTTTATCTCTTTATTGGCCAAAAGACATTTTTAATAGAAATAAAGAGCTAAAACTAATTCCTTACTTAAGTATGCCACAGATGCTTCAGTTTGATGAAGCCTGAGAGGCTGTAGAAGACAAGAAAATATTTCAAACAAGATCTCCCACTCCTCCAGATCTTCATTGCAGTTACCTGCACGTCATCCTCACCTTCATTACCTGTAGTCTCTCTGGCAGGTGTGTGCAGCTGCAACAGCTCTCTGCTCTTGCACATGGATCCTGTACAGATACTGATACATGATGGGACAGATACAGTTCCATATCCTAAGCTCTCTGACAGTTCTGGATGTTGGTGTCTTCTGTCATTCCATTTGAACTCCATTGTCTGCAAACCTGGTTCCACAGTGGGCTCACACTGCAGACAGAGGCTGGCAGGCTTCTGCTCACAGGTCAGGCAGTGAAAGATGAAATAAATTCCATGTGTGGTAAAACTAGCTGGAATCAGGTTTGCTTCTGTAGGCTGAGGTGAGGTAGGAAGATGGAATATGATTTCCTGACATATTCTGAAAAGACCCAGTGAAACCCAGTTTTGCTTCTGCTGCAATAATTGGAGCAGCATTCTGTTTCCAGCCCACAGGTATGCAGGGTGTCAGCCCCAGGAGAGTGCACTGCTGTCTGTGTGCCCGTGACCCTTGTTGTGTCTGTGCTGCTGCTGATCCCCTGGGTGGTTGTAGTGCTGCATTGCTGCTGCACCCAGGCAGAGGACTAACACACTCTATCCCTAGCCAAGGTAACAACTCATTCTGTACCCCTTATTTCAGGTGGATGCTGTGGGCAAGGTGACATGTCCTCCCACCCCCATGGAAGTTAGGGTTTCTTCATGGCAGTTTTGCTATCAGTGAACAGCAGAGGCTTCTCTGGTTCACCCTCTTGGTGTCCTCTGTGTGGCTCCATGGACAAGGCACAGTCCACATTCTCAAAATCCGTCTTTGATTCTACCATTCATCTGCTGGCTTGGGTTTGGTCCATCAGCTTAACAGGCAGGTGGCCTGGGAAGGTTTCAGCAGGGCTTGTCCTACCAGGATTTACCATATGAGTTTTACCTACTGATCCATCCAGTGTGGCCTGTTAATGAGGAACAAGGCCTGTTGGCTATGGAGGTATTTTTAGGGTCCTAGTGCTGTGAGCAGCAGGTAACACATTTCCAAATAAACCCCATCTGCTTTGCTCATGTCCTGCTTTCCAGAGGCTTTGCTATCCCTTTCTGTTGGTGTCCAAAAATGTTTCAAGGTTATGGGGCCTTTTCTGTTGGACACCTGGCCAAGATATTTCTGTGAAGGAGGATAACTCTCAGGGTGATTCTTCCTGACATTATCACCTGGTTGTTCCCTGCTTGATACACCTGCAAGATCATCAGTAGTGCCAGGTCAGCCATCTGACAGCCAGGAGCTTGCTGATCAGCATTCACTGTATTTATTAGCTGTTCCCAAATATTTCAAGCAAGGCCTTTGGAAATCATGGATGTCCACAGATCTCTGCAGGATGGAACCACCTCTTGTATCCCATAGCTCACTGGCCTCTTACAGGTGGCCTGCTGCTCAGCAGGTGGCTGGGATGGGCTGAGACCTGCCAGTGGGAGCAGCTCCTTGAACCTCAATGTCCTTGTCTTCCCACTGGCTATGTCTCCTAGGATTTTTCCAAAGGCTTTTGCAGTGTGAGCTGAGCCAAGGGTCTGTCCTTGCAAACAGGCATGTGTGCTGCTGGGTGAGTACCTGGGTGATGTTTGCATGTGAAGAACCAGATATTAGTGTAGTCATTAATGTGACTGTGTTGAACTCTGTGACTATGCTAATGGGACTGTAATGAACTAATCATTAGTTTAGTTCAGCTGTTACGAGAGGAGCAATGGCACTGATGGGATCCAGTGGCCAAGCTCAGACCCTTCCCTGGCTGCCAGTGTAAGATCTGCTGCCTCAGACTGAGAATTCCCAAATGCATTTCCATGACCACCATGTCTTCAGACAGAGACCTGGTTGTGAAAATTAGTAATTACCAAGGGCTACATTTGAATGTGTTTGGCAGATGTTATTTCCAGCAGTATGGGTATATTTAAGTCTTTCTTCCAAGCAGGAAACCTGCACTAAGATTTCCAAGGGCTGCATGCAGCAGGTGTAGAAGCTGGCACCATGGCAGGCAGCTCTCACTGCTGGCAAACATCTTGCAAAGCAACTTGTGCAGGATAATTTTCACAAAAATGGTTTCCAAGCTTTACAGATATATCTCTTTGGCTTAGATTTCACCATCAGAGACAGCAGTGGTCACTTCCTAACACCACCACTGAATTATTTCCTGGTGCTGGGAAGTGAGAATATGATGAAACAGCCATGTCAGCCAGTTCAGGGTTCAAGAAACTGAAGGCCAGTTTGGATGCTACGGTTCACAGAATCAGTCAGGTTGGAAAAGACCTCTGAGATCATCAAGTCCAACCCATGACCTAACGCCACCATGTCAACTAGACCGTGGCACTAAGTGCCACATCCAGTCTGTCCTTAAACACCTGCAAGGATGGTGACTCTGACACCAGGAGAGCTCAGGATTCAGGTTTTCTTCACCAAAAAAATGGTAACTTTCAGCTATTGCATTAATGTCAAACTCTCACAATGAATTTTCTGCCCATGTTTCCTGACCCAGAGGCCAGGACATTGCTGTGTTCATGAGGACACAGTGGTA